TAGATAGATAGATAGATAGATAGATAGATAGATAGTTGGTGCCAATTTCCTCCCTTGCAGCCAGAGGCTGTATTGCGGAGGAACCAGAGAGGTGAGATCGGACGTCAGCATATGAAGGCGCACTATTGTGGCTTAGGATGTAAATTTGCTTCAGGAAGTAACCAATAACTGGGAATGTGATCTAGTTTATGTGATTATATCTCAACAGATGGGCGTATGGTATTCTACTTTGGGAGATTTTAACAATCGGTGCGTAGCATTTCTTGTTTTCTACCAGCCATTTTGGAATCTATGTACTTTTAGCTTCCTTGCACTATTTTGTTAGGTTTCTTTACAATTGCGCATGCATGCCAAATTATACTAACTTATAAACAAAACTGCTTGAATCAGTTCATTACTCCATGTTCCACCTGACCGGAGTTCAGAGAGGCTATGAGTGATCTCACTTATGCATCACTTGTCAGGCATATTATAGTGTCACCTGCACGACCTGCTGTATCGCTTTGGATGTGAAACTTTAAAATAACATATATTAGATGTATAATTATAATGATCACTGCAAGCTAATGTACTTACCTTTGATCTCCATTGAGCAAGCTAGTTTCCAGGACTGCCATTCGAACTGAAGAAACCATGGTGAAAATTCCCAGCTTGTAGGAAGCTAACCAGTTGGATATCTACAAGCATGACCGAGGAAATAAAATCAGGGCTACCGATCACTAGCTAGAGGAAGGGGAGCTAGTGGTCTTGATATCGGGATCTACGGATTAAAACTCTACCAGCTCCCTAAAAAACATGCTCTTGCTGCCCCATAAACTGATCTCCGTCTTTCTTTGTATCTAGGTGGGACGCCATATCCTACAATAAGTAATCATAAACTTTTTCGGGCTCTTAAAGCTGGATACAGAATGGAGAAACCACAGATGTGCAGAGATGAGATGTAAGCCTCCTTTATTCCTTCGCCCCGTTTCTGTCATGAATTGATGACTGATTCCTGTCTTTCATTTTCTCAGGTATGAATTGATGCGACAGTGTTGGAAAGAAAAACCCACTGAAAGGCCTTCATTCAGTGTCATCCGGGAACAAGTTGAACGGATGATGCTACACGACTGTCCTTATTTGGATATGGCTGACGCAAACTATAGTTACGCGCCCCTTTATGAAACTCTCCGTGACGAAAAGATGGGACTGGAAACCACAGCTTTGTAACTTAGATTTAAAGTTGTATGTAAGATTTTTCGACGTCATTATACGTCTTATAAATGTTAACCCTCAGATTCAAAGGTCAATTCATACCTCATCGTGATGTGAGGGAGGTCCTCCCCATGATTTTTCTTTCTGGACAAATCAAATTAGTAGGTACTCTGTTCTTTAATAACCCTCAACTTGCTTTGATATGTTTTATCATTTGGCTATGATTCATACGTCATCTTGGATCTGCCATCTTGGATCCGCCATTTTAGAATTCATCACCCTCGCAGGAGGTCAATAAAATGATAATAAAAGATAAAAAAACTACACGCCTATAGCTCTATACAAACTGTATGCCTTGTAAAGATGCGATTAATTCTATGATTTTATCAGTTATGTTTTTCATATATAAATATTGGGTTAGGGTTAGGGTTTGGGTAATCCTGATTTTGCTTGCGTACAAAGCGACCTTAAATTTCACCATAATGTTAAAAAATTTGAGTGTAGCATTTCTAATCTTGATAAAATCATTAGCAACTAGAAACTGATGAAAAATTAATTTATCAATAAGTGATGTAATACACGTAATGTTGAGATGTAACAATAGTAGATCATAATAGAATAACGTCTTAAATGCACAGTGTATTATTATTAGTATTATTTTTGCAACTTTCCTTTTGTAGTACACTGTATTTTTTTTTTTAAACTCTACACTGTATGTGGCCTAGGTTTAAGTAATAAAGTTGCCACTAAAGGCAAAAAAATAAATTAATAATTAAAAAAACTTAGCAAAATATTACGGCTGACCTGGTAGTAGAATATGTGTTGCTTTTCTTCAGATTTTTTTTATGACCGCGACAAATGGAGATGGTCGTTCACAACAAGTTCACAACGTTATTTAGCACAGACAGAATAGAATTCTCTAAACACGCATCCAGTTCTTGTGCCTCCTATTTTTTCGAGCTCATATGAATTTTCGTTTGCTTTTAAAAAAATCTTATATATAACGTGTAATTCGATTGGTCTAAGCAATTTATTTTATAATATTCAGAGGTGAATATCAAGGACTACAAAATAACGGACTAAGACAATTGTTCGTTTGCATACATGTATGCAGCCGTAGTTTTAATAATCAGCTTACATGTAGATCGATTGTGAATCAATTTACTCATCGAGTTCAGCAGTAAAACGGACAAGGGAAACTCTACGAAAAACAAATTCATCCTCTACCTTTATTTTATCGTTGTTGCCTTCATTCAAAGATGTCATCATCGTCTAAAAATGTGACAAAACGAGTAGCTTTAGTTTGAAGAAAACTAAATTTCAGTCAATCGATCTGACCTGCTGGCTAACAACGTAACCACCGCGTTTACGATTCTTAATTGCCTTGAATACGAGTTTTTGCAAAGATTCTTGGTCCAAAGGCGACAGCAGTCATTTTGAAAATTCTCCATCCTTTCAAATATCCTGGACTAGCATTTGGAGTGATGTCTTCCGAATAAAGGAAAATTTCGTTTAGCAACTGTTCTGTTTACTTGCCGAGATTGCACAGGTGGCAAGTTTAGTTACCATGCCTTGAAAATGTTCAATTCACCGCCTAGCCGGTGAATATAGCGTCATAAGCCGAGCTTTTCGACCAATCAGAATGTCCAATTCTTGTATACACCTCCGGAAGTTATACTGAAAAGAAATATTTGATTGGAAAATTCAAACTGTGAAGTGTTACGATATCATTTGAATGCAGTGAAATGATATAATTTATTGTATCATTGATAGCACTTATGGTATTAGGGATATCACTTTAACATACCTGACTGAAATGGCACGAACGCAAGCACGATTTATCCCTTCAAACCGAGAAACACTGAGAACTATACGTCATCTTTCTTTTGTACTTTGTCCGATAAATTTGAGCCCGCTAAAAAGCACATCCGATCTACAGAAAACAGAATCGACACGCAAATTGACATAAGCTCGAACGATCGATGTTTGTTGAAGTTAAGCACAGGTCATTAATAGTCATTGCTCGATCATTGGCCTTTTACGGAATGGAGCTCAAGTTTGTCGAAAGAGCCGCGATGAAGCCAAAGAGAAAATTAGTTCCCTAAAGTCTCGGAACTATAAACGCAGCATTGGTTAAGATCCTGGCACCTAAAACGCGAGTGTGGCGCATCTCTAAACGCGCCAGAGCTTACAAGAGTAAAGAAATTTGAAATGAGCGAGAATCTCTCACCCAAGCACTGTCCAAATCAAAAGACTTCCACAAGTGAAATGCACGTGTGTAGATTTGGTGGAGGGCTAACAGTAGCATCTTTAAAAAGTTAGGTAAGCATTGGTTGTGATCCCTGCATCTAAAACGCAAATGTGGCGTATCTCTAAACGTGCCAGAACTTACGAAAGAAAAGAAAGTTAATATGGGCGAGAATCTCTCGCCCAAGCACTGTCGAAATCGAAAGACTTCCACAAATGAAATACACGTGTGTAGATTTGAGGGGAAGGCTAAAAGTAGCATCTTCAAAAAGTTAGGTAACCATTGGTTAAGATCCCAACACCCAAAACGCTATTCTGGGGCATCTCTAAACGCGCGAGAAATTACACGAGAAAAAAAAATTGATGTGGGCGAGAATATCTCACCCAAGAACTCTCTAAATCACAAAGACTTCCACAAGTGAAATACACGTGTGTAGATTTTAAGAACGGTTAAAAGTAGCATGTTTAAAAAGGTAGGTAAGCAATGGTTGGGATCCCTGCACCTAAAACACGAGTGTGGCGCATCTTTAACCGCGCGAAAACTTACTAGAGAAGAGAAAGTTGTTATGGGCGAGAATATCTCAGCCAAGCACTGTCCAAATCGAAAGACTTCCACAAGTAAAATACGCGTGTGTAAATTTGGGGGAGGGCTGAAAGTAGCATTTTTAAAAAGTTAGGTAAACATTGGTTGGGATGCCAGCTCCTAAACTACGAGTGTGGCGCTTCTCTAAGCGTGCGAGAACTTACAAGATAAAAGAAATACAACATTGCCGAGAATCTCACACCCAAGCACTGTCCAAATCGAAAGACCTCCACAAGTAAAATACACGTATGTAAATTTGGGAGAGGGCTAAAATTAGCATCCTTATAAAATTGGGTAAGCATTGGTTGGGATCCATGTACCTAAAATGCAAGTGTGGTGCATCTCTAAACGCGCGAGAACTTACCAGAGAAAAGAAAGTGGATATGGAAGAGAATCTCTCACCCAAGCACTGTCCAAATCGAAAGTGAAATACACATGTGTAGATTTGGGAAGGTCGTAAAGTAGCATTTTTAAAAAGTTAGAAAACCATTGGTTGGGATGCCTGTCCCTAAAACTCGACTGTGGCGCATCTCTAAACGCGCAAGAACTTGCGAGAGAAAAGAAAGTTAATATGAGCGAGAATCTCGCACCCAAGCACTATACAAATCGAAACTTTCACAAGTGAAATACAGGTGTGTAGATTTGGAAAAGGGCTGAGAGTAGCATTTTTAAAAAGTTATGTAAGCATTGGTTTGGAGCCCTGCACCTAAAACGCAACTGTGCCACATCTTTAACCGCGCGACAACTTACGAGAGAAAGGAATTTTGATATGGGCGAGAATCTCTCACCCGAGCACTGTCCAAATCGAAAGACTTCCACAAGAAAAATACACGTGTGTAGATATGAAGAAGGGCTTAAAGCAGCATCTTTAAAAAGTTAGGTAAGCATTGGTTGGGAGCTCTGCACCTAAAACAAGATTGTGCCGCATCTTTAACCACACGAAAACTTTTTAGTGAAAAGAAAGTTGATATGGGCGAGAATATGTCACCCAAGCACTGTCCAAATCGAAAGACTTCCACAAGAAAAATACACGTGTGTAGATATGAAGAAGGGCTTAAA